GTGAGTGTCGCAACTGAACAAGTACGTAATATTCACCGTCATCATCATTTTTTGAGAATTTAAAATCAGGTTAGTCTTCCATCACCCCAGACACAGCGACCGTATCGGCAAAATACTAATATGTAGGTTTGCTTTTTATTCAATACATTCTGAATATTTGGTTTGCAATTGATCTCTAAATAATCCGAACTTTTCCATACTCGTTGCTCTATTTTATCATCATGAATTATTTGTACAAACTTGAATATTTTACAAATAATAAAAAATATTCTCTTTTTAGCACGGCCACATAACAAACAGTCTACTCATACCATCTTGTTGGCGGGAGTGTTTCATCATTTCTCTCATTGTCCGCTGATGGCAACTATAGTATATGATCAAATTTACCGCTACTCTATACTTTTACTTGTTGATGATTTTCGGTTAGGGTTAGTGAAATTTATATCATGAAAGGTCCACAATACTCGGATAATCACTTCGTTTTGTTGCTGTCAGTGACACTCCAGAGCAATATTGTTATCTTCGCTTTTATTTCCCAGTGCGCCGTGTGGCCATTCACTTTGACTCGTGACTTTCACGTATTTATATAAAGCGACAACATTATTGCATCTTGCATGACTTTGGAGAGCAGTTGGCGTCAAAGTTCTGGCGCCATGCGATCGTGCGTATGACTGGATGGACTAGTCTTTTCGACGGTATGGGACATTATCGTTTACTGATGTCTCAACTACATTTGTGTTTCCCATTTCATTAGAGTTAAAAAAATATATTAAGTAACATCGGACAAACTGACGCCAAATTAATGTTTTCTCACGACGTTATACAACCATAATTTACATAATATAGTAGCTTCAAGTTGACATGCTTTCTTTGTCAATGACAAGTCCCTGTCCAATTTTTAGTGAATGTCAACCTTAGTGTCAAATAACTATTTACACTCATGTGACAGAAACGGTATAACGTGGGGCCAGTTTGTTTGTGCGATTTCTTTACTCGGTCTATGACATTCATGATGCATTTCTAGCACGAAAATGACGATCATCCATCTTGAATCAGTTTCTGAAACAGATGCATGTACAAATGTATTACATGATGCACATTTGTAAAGTTTGAACATGATCAATCAAGCCACGATAGCAGTATGGCTCCAAAAATAGCATTCGATAAAAACAAAATGGCAGCTATTTTGAATCAAATGTGGGAAAAAATGACCTGCATCAATTCACGACCAAGATCCAGTTTCGGAATGGCAGAAATGCTGGTTTTTTGGTGAATTTTTAACACTGAAATGGACGCCATTCGGCCATCTTTAATTTATCATGAAACAAATGCGTGTGCATATGATGCACAGTCACTTGGG